TGGGGCCACGTACAACAGCCGTTTGGAAATTGGGCCATGTCCCCGATGTGACCAAGGCCTGGCGGTGTGGGTGGGGTGCTGACGGTGTCTGGTAGAAGCAGCCCCTGCCTCTAAGAGCCAACACATGTTAAAATTCTAGCTCTTTCCATCTGCTGACCCGAGAACACGTAGGCATGTCGTCTGCCTTCTAAGTTATCACAGATGTCTACTGAGCTTTGCAAACATAATCTCCAGCTCTCCACCCTGTACGGGCTGTTTTTCTTGCCTCTTGCTGTTTGCATGTGCAAACCCACACTTTACAGAAGCATCCCAGCACTAGGCACCCATTTCCGTACCAAGTAAAGTAAAGCCAGATAGAGTCAACAAAGAGACCCAGTGAATAATTCAGTGGCTGAAAGAAGACAATTTTCTCTCTCATGTTACAGTCCCAAGGGACTATGTGAGGTCTGAAGGCAGATGTGTTTCAAACAGTCATTTAGAGACTCGTGCTGTCCATTCTGCTGCTCTATCAGCACCAGTACCTGTCATGGGCGTGGACCAGCCTGGAGACACCGGAAGGTGCAGTAAAGCCATGTACTGAAAACGCAGGTGGGTCTGTTCCCTGGATCCCCAGTGCTGTGGCTTCTCTGTCTTGATGAACATGGACAGATTAGTTTCTAAAGTTTAGGAAACAGTAATTCCAGGGTTTCTACTGCTACCGTGAAAGTTGGCAAGAGAATCACAGACACCAAGTCCAAAGGAAGAAGCTGTGGGAAGTCGATTAAGGCTGCATGTCCCCCCAGGAGTCCTCAAACTATGGCCCGAGGGCCACATGCAGCCCGTGCCCATCCTGCTTAGCAGTTGACTCGTCCCAGGGCCCGCAGTCTGGCCCTCCAATAGTCTGAGGGACAGTGAACTGGCCCCCTGTTTAAAAAGTTTGAGGACCCCTGGACTGAGTTCATTCCTCCCAATAACCAGTAACCCACAAACTCTGAGAAGAACAGTTCCAAGAACAGACAGAGGGAACATGGAGGGACCAGCCGTCAGTCCTGGAAAGGCTTCCACGTGGATCGGCTGTCTCCTATAGGTTAACACCAAGGCTGCTGCACCTGCTTACCCACACCCCCCAAAATCCTGCATCCCATGGGAGCCGTGTGGGTGTGCTTGATGGGGGCTCCTGGGGCACTGTGAAGTCACAAGGAGAGTCACACACAAATAAGTTGACTATGTTCAGATGTCCCTTGGCCACATTCCCCGTGTCTCACTCCAGGGCAGCTGTGGAGGGCTTCTCAGAGCCTCCCGAGGCCATGCAGCTGCTTTGCGTTTGCAGTGCTTTCTCTGAGTCGCATGCCTTGCAGACTGACCTGGAGAAAACGCCTGTGGCTGCAGAACACATCTGCCATGCTATTTAGTCTGGGTTCACATAAGCCTGTCTGGATCGACCATGTGCTTATCTCCAGAGCTGCCTGGAGCCTGGGAGTGACTCTTAGCTGGTACTGTGGAAGGCCTTAACTAAAGGTAAATGATGTCTTTCAACCATGGTTTCATGAGTAGTTTCAGAAAGGGATGTACCAGCCTACCTGTAATGTTGACTAATAATTGGGTTTATGATATGCATCTAGTTCTGGTGGCATCTGAGGACTTCTGACACCTAAGGAATAGCACAGAGGACCAGTTCACTGGAAGTGGCCCCTCAGCACAGATAGACTGGTTTTCACGCACTTTGCATGCACTCTGGGGGTGTGTGAGACCTGGAAACAGAGCCTGTCCTGTGTGACTCAGCGATGGGCCCTGCCCTGCCCTCTGGGTCAGCCGGTGAGGCTGTGCAGCTCTGTTTCCATTGTGCATTTTCATACTCGTGAAGGAGATAGGAAGTCATACTCTGACCGTGTGACTGGCTTTGGACAATGAAATGGGGAGCAGAAGTGATTTGAGAGTCAGTGCGTGACTGTTAACGTGCTTTCTTCTGCTACACCAATTAGGGAAACAAGTATTTATATGGTGGTGCCATAAATGGGAGATAAGATTGGGAAGCTGGGGCTGGGTGCCATGGCTCACATCTGTAAATCCCAGAACTCTTGGGAGGCCCAAGGTGGGCAGATTGCTTGAGCTCAGGAGTTGGAGACCAGCCTGAGCAAGAGCAAGACCCCATCTCCAAAAAATAGCCAGGCATTGTGGCTGGCACCTGTAGTCCCAGCGACTTAGGAGGCTGAGACAGGAGGATCACAGGAGCCCAGGAATTTAAGATTGCTGTGAGCTGTGATGCTACGGCACTCAATCCCAGGGTGACTGAGTGAGACTCGGTCTTAAAAAGAGAGAGAGCGAGCTTGGGCAGCTGAATGCAGATAATACTTGAAAGAGAGCTGACCTGGAAGTTTGCCTCATCCACAGTACACTTTTTTTTTTTGATAGAGTCTCACTGTGTTGCCCTGGGTAAAGTACCATGGCATCACAGCTCACAGCACCCTCAAACTCTTGGGCTTAAGTGATTCTCTTGCCTCAGCCTCCTAAGTAGCTGGAACTACAGGTGTCTGACACAATGCCCAGCTATCTTTGTTGTTGTTGTTGTTGTTGCTGTTATCATTGTTTAGCAGACCCGGGCCTGGTTTGAACCTGCCTGCCTCAATGTATGTGGCTGGTGCCCTAACCACTGAGCTATGGGCACCAAGCCACAGGATACTTTTTATGTGAAAACTAAGCTTCTGTTGTGAGATTTGAGGATTACTTCTTACTGTAGCTAACCATGGCCTGTAAAGATCAATGCACGGCCTTAGCATCTCCCTCCCCTTGGACACTGTGTCTGAAACCTACTGGCCTCTTCCAGCTCCTGAAACACATCAGGATCTTTTGTTCATCAGCGTCATTGTTCATCATCTTGTTCTCTCTGCCTGGCGCGTTCTTACTTCCACTCATTGTTCTGCTTTGATTCCTAAGTGAGAACAAATTAAAGGAAAAAGAAAAAGTGCAAGTCTGAACCTGGAAGCGTCTGTAAGTTAAGAGGCTGGAGCATGTTGGGCTGTGGGGTGGGAGAAAAGGAAAGAGCTGTGCTGCTCGTGTTCTAACTCATTCCCGCCATCAGCATTTATTGAGCGTGCTCTGTGCCCACTTATCCTAAGTGCTGGGGCAATAAGACACATCAAACTCCCTGATGTAACAGAGCTCACAGAACGGTAGGGGGATCCCCAAAGTAAAGGAGCAGTGAGAGAAGAAAGGACAGGAGTCAGTGGTAACAGTCATGAATAAAAGAGAGGCAAGAAGCTATTGACTTGGGAGAGGTGGAGGCAGTTAGTCATCGTCAAGCTCCATGGGAGAAGAGCAGCTTGCGGGTGTGGGGCGTGATGGCTGAGTGGGAAGTGAAGGAGGAGATGTAATGAACTTTTAAAAATAATAATTGCTGCGTCTTACTGAGAGTGCCAGGGACTTTTACACATATCATTTCTAAGCCTTTCAAAAATGAGTATTACCTCTTCCATTTTACAGATGGTGAAACCAAAGCTGAAATTAAGTAAGTTGGCCCAAATCACATGCCAAGAATGGCTGAATTAAAACTCAGGTTTGCTAACTCCACGGCCCGTGTATTCTCCATCATTATATAAGCAGGACAGGGGTGCCTGGCCCCTGCTGCCAGACCGGCAGGAGCCTTTGGAATAAAGAAGAGAGAAAGGTTAAATAAATAGAGGCTGGAAAGAGAGGTTACTTCTGGGAATCTTCTTTAAACAAATGCAAAGGACAAAGATTTTTGAAAAAAATTCTTGATTTTGATTAGAGTATTAAAAAACAAGAACCGAATCTTATTAATTACACATAAGAACAATCACAACGAATTCTCACATTGGAGTGAATTTCTAGGTAGTCCAAAGACCAGGCACCTCTATAATCTGGAGGCAATGACACTCCGACCTAACAACTCTGGACGTGAATGGGCAGGACTAGATCATCTGGAGGGAAAAAGGAAGATGTGGGTGAAACTTCATAGAGGGAGAATCTGACACATGGGAAAGGCACCTTGGGTGTGTTCAAATATCAGTACGAAAGTTAAACACTAACCAGGAGCTTTCTTCCCCCATCACCCAAGTAACTGCTTCCCTTTTTCTTAGGTTTTGAAACACATATTTGGTCCCAAGATAAGCTGACATGGGGCCAGTTGGTGGGGAACACACACTTCCCAAGTGGGAATATTTGTCCCTTTTGGCTCAGGCTCCCATCACTATATGTCTTCAATGATTGTCAGGATTTTTGTCTTATTTTATTCATTGCTCCCAAAGCATAAGAAGTTAATCTGGAGAAAGAGCGGGGGGTGGGGGGGAGAGAATAAAGGTGGGAAAGGGGTTCTGTGACGAGGCTGAATATACAGTCTCAGTGAGAGGTAAAAGGTGATCAGTCCTTCCTAAAGACACCCTAAGGG